CCGCGCTTCCCAAGCGGCGCACTATCCAGTGCGCCACCGGGCCGGCCCAGGGACTATTATAAATAATTATATGCCAACCTAGATGATATAGATAAATTCCTAGAAAAACACAACCTACCAAGATTAAATCAGAAAAAAAGAAAAAGAAAAAAACCAGAAAGCCTGCATTCTCTATATCTCACTGAGTTTCCTTAAGATCATTGTTTTGAATTCCATTTTGTCCTGCACCCTGCCAGGGGACATTTGACAATATCAGTGACATTTTGTTGTCACGACTACTGACCTCTAGTGGGGGGTTGCTAAGTAGCCTACAATGCACAGGACAGCTCCCATAATTCAGTCCAAAACGTCAATAGTGCTGTGGTAGAGAAACATTGAGATAACCCCACCTATACTATTTTTTTCCTCTTATTTGTCTCAAGGTGGGGGGCAAAAAAACTCTATAAGTTTCAGTTTTGAGGAATGTCAAATGTTTGGCCTAAGTTACACAAGTACTGGTAATAGTGTGAAATTTGACCAGAAACTTTTTGGCTCCAAATATTTGTCACTTTGGTCCTTCTTGATGACTACGTGAGCCCATATATGCCTCTGAATACAAAACAAGAAACACAAATAACATAAATTGTCCTTTTGTGGCCAAAACTTGAACCCTGTGTGAGAAGAGTTGACACAATTTTAAATATGCCCTTGAAATAAATTATTTTTTTTTCTTTAGATGGTTTCAGCTACTGAGACAGTTGGCCAGAAATTAAAACACAGCTACGATCAGCTATCATCAGAGATAAGAGTATTTCTGTCACTTTGGTTTGAAAGTGCTCTGGACTAGATTGAGGCTAGTTTTATACGTTGTGCCAGCTACAGTCTATAGATCCTTTTACCTTAAACTATCTCTGTGCGTAGTTGATTAGTCATTTTCCTATCATTGTCTCTGCAGTATCCTGCTTGACATGGTTCAGAATTCAGGCAGTGGTTTAAATATTAGCCTACTGGCCACAGTTCAGAGAACACATATAAATGTCAGCAACTTCATTTACATAGGAATGTTCATTCACTAGTCACACAATTCCATTAATCTAGCTTTGAAGTTATGAGATTCCTGCTTAATGCACTATCACAATCTAGTGCTCTCAAGATAGAACATTTTTAAAAGTTGCTGTTGTGAATGATTGTTTAACATCCCAGGTTTTTATCCATTTCTGCTTGCATCTTACCTGGGAGAACAATTTCACTAATACATTGCATAGCATGTACTACCTGTATCCTTCTGTCGGAACAAAGAACACAAATATATCTTAAGGAGATGGCAACTTCCTCAGGATCAGAGCAGCAAGGTCCAAATATCCTTCTTAGTTTCCTATTACATGCAAAATAAAGTCCAGACTCTTTAGCATGGCATTCAAAGCCATACATAATCTGCCCTTAGCCTACCTTTCAACAACATATCCCCTGGCTCACCTGGTCATTCATTCATTTATTCATTCATTTGGTAACAATTCACTGAAGGTATAAGTGTCTTTTAGTCACTGTGATTAGTTCTGGGGTGTGTCCCCGTTGTATATGTTAGACCCAGTGCTTGTCCTCAGGGAATTTATAGTCTGGAGGGGAAAACAGACAAGTGAAGAGGCAATTACAAAACCCATCACCCTAACCCCCAGCCACACTGACTAACTACACATAGAGACTTGTAGTTCAGTATGAGTCCGTTCATGCAACTGAGTGCAGGCTGGAGGAAGCCTAAGACAGCAGTAGTTTTCTTGTCCATATGAAGTAGGCTCATTTCTAGTTCCAGAGTTCCTGGGACTAGAATCTCAACACTTGGGAGATTGACTTGGGATTTCAGATCTGCTCTAAAGAAGATCAGCACAGGCCTAATAGGCCTCAATTCAAACCAGACCCATTCCAGGAAAGCCTCTGAGCCATCTCCAGACCTTGGAGGCCAGGATGATAGTTCCCTCCCATGTTCCTTAAATTGAGGGTGGTTCCCTAAAAGTGGAGCCTGAGACAGGGAGACATTCTCATGCATGTGGTTTATTGAAAGACTACTCACAAGAGAAATCCATAAGTAGTGAAGAAAGCAGGATAGGGCAGGAGGAGAAGCTAAGCAAAGATGTGGTTTCAACTAAGGTCTAGCCTCAGCCTGATGCTGTGAGGGGTTTGGGGGCAGGAGTCGTACCATGAAAATGTCCCACATTGAGGTAAGGGAGCCTGTTGTACTCGTAGAATCAGTCAGTTACTGACTGGACCAATCCCAGAGAGGGATGTAACTTCCATGGCATTTCTGGGAAAGCTGTCCTCTGTGGCTGAGATGAATTATCTGGAGAAGAATGCAGTTAGAAAACCTTAGTAGCCAACACTCACAGCTTCTGTAGGATGCGTATACTGGTCCAGTAAAGGGGATCTGGTCAGGGCATCAACTGCATCTACTACATCCAGAAAATGTGCAAGACTAGAGTAGCCTCCAAATATTTTGCATCTGTGTCCGGCTTTGAAACATTTTCCTAGAGACTCACACTTGGTTGTCTTTTCCATTTTACTGGTTAAAATAACGCTTCTCTGTCTTGAATTCCAGAATTACCTGTGGATATTAAAAAGTAATCATTTTAAATTTTTAGGTATCCTTCTCAGTGATCCCTCTATTTGACATTAATAATTAACCAGAGGACTAATTTAACCAATTCTTCAAGCCGAGTTCACAAAAAGGAGGGCACTTTCAAGAAAGGTTGTGTCAACGATCTAATGCTACCCCAGCCATGGATATTTTAAGCATAGTCTGTATTTGTTTCTACTTGGGAAGAAGTTGGGGGCAGAAGCAAACGTAAGTGAAGGATGCCATTTTCATTTGAAATGTATCGTGGTTGCATTTGCAGAGAAAGCAGAATTTAATCTATGCCACATGAAATTAACTTTCTACTTCTGAGAACTCCAAATGAATTTCCTCTTTTCTCTATTGTCCAATGCTGCTACACTGTCTTTTTTGTTTTATTTTGAAATTTGTTTAATTTTATCCTGCTTTCTATATTTTCTAGTTTGTTTTGTGTGTGTGTGTGTGTGTGTGTGTGTGTGTGTGTGTGAGAGAGAGAGAGAGAGAGGTCTAGTTTGTTTTGTGTGTGTGTGTGTGTGTGTGAGAGAGAGAGAGAGAGAGAGAGATTGAGAGAGAGAGAGAGATTGAGAGATTGAGAGAGAGCACTATGTATGACTTTTATTCTAACACTCTATGTTTTGCTCAGCCTGTTACTTCTGCCCCTAGGAAAAGTAACTTTCTGATTGGTATTTTGTTTGAAAATGGATTCTTCAAAAAACGAAAGTGTGATTCCTTTTGTACTTCTATTAAATATAGCCCTGGCTGCAACCAATCAAGATCACTTCTGTTTCCTTTAAATCTCATCCTTACAATGCTTTCTGGAAGCTATCCTGGCTTTACATTGATAACAAAATTTTGAGAAATAAAAAAGATATTGTTAAGTTTAAGAAACATTGATAATTTATATTGATTCTTCCATGTGAAAAACATTTTTAAAATTACTTTTTATTAACAGATTAACTCTGTAATTTTATAATTTCAACAGGTATGTTGTCTCAGCACCTAAAGAATTCTATGTTGGAGCTCCTGAAAATGTAGTAATTCAAGTTTATGGATATACACAATCATTTGCTGTGACCATTGCTATTAAAAGTTATCCTGAAAAAAGTTTTACATATTCTTCTGGCCAAATTAATTTATCTCCAGAAAATAAATTTCAGAACTCTGCAAACTTAACTGTAGGTATTTATCTCATATTTTCTACATCAAATGTTTCTTTGTAAAATACACCACAGATGGTACCTTAATCCATTTTATATCTGTGTATAAAATGTGATATATCATACTATTAAATGAGTTCACTAGTTGATGTGAGATCAGTGCCATATATTTCTATATGTAAGTAATGTAAACTGTTAAATAAAGAATCTGTTTTTCATTTGGGGGTAATGTTAGGAAATGTAAAAGTCTGAATAATGCAGGTTATTAAAGTGAAAGATCTGGTGACATAAGCTAAAAACTAAATCAATGAACAGATGTAACTGTTTCAAAATTACATGATGAATACTAGGAAGAGATAATTTAGATACTTAAACTTTGTATAATATTAGGAGTAAAATATTCATACATGTTTATATACAAACATTTATATACACACAGCTTTGGCTCTGTTCTAAAGAAAAATTAAGATGATTAAGAAAAATGAATGAAGAACATTTTGAATATTTGTTTTCCTAAACTATATGCTACAACATTCTAATTCCATGGTTTTCTAGAAAATAATTTTTTTCCTAAAATTTGTATCTATGATAGACTTTTTGTACTTCCTCTTTAGACTTGAACCAAACAAATTTTCTTTCAAACAAATTGTGAACCATGTTTAAGGAAGATTAGAGAGGTGTCCACAACCCTATTATTATGAAATATACTAACCCTATGCTGTACATTTGAAGAGGGCCACACGCTGATTATAAAATGTCCAATTCCATAAAACACATAAGTAAAGGAAGGTTTAGACTTTCAATGTAAGTCCAAATATAATTATAAATGTAGGGAATACTTTGTCCATTTATACCACCACGTGACAAGTCATTCAGTCTCCTCTTTACCTGATGTATGACTCCTTCTACCCATTCTCCCACACCTCTATTGCTGATGAGCTTTTGAGCTTTTGAGCTTTTCTTAATGACTTTTGGTTATTTTGACTATTAAAAATAGAATTTGTTAAGTGATTGTCATTTTAAATACACATTAAATCTTAATCGATTTTTAAAAAGTAATTATTTCAAACTAAGTTTTACAAGAAACCTAAAATACAGAGGTGTTTCTGGAGAAAAAATAGCTTACTGCTTTATTTTACAAAATTTTTTGTAAATTTTGTAAATTTTGTGTTTGTTCAATATAAACAATTATTCAAATTATTAGCACGGATACTACAAGGGAATGTTTTTGTTATCTTAGGATTATACATAATATTGCTCCATTAACTTCTTTTTTTTTTTTTTTCCATAGATACAACCAAAAGATTTATCTGGAGGGCCAAATGCAGTTTCACACGTATATTTAGAAGTTGTATCTGTCCATTTTTCAAAAGCAACAAAAATTCCACTACGCTATGACAATGGATTTCTTTTCATTCAAACAGACAGACCTGTTTACAATTCGGATCAGCCAGGTATAATAAAGAGGACATTTTAATTCATGGAGGAAAAGTGGGATGATCCGATGAATATTTTGGGGACAAATGGCTTATCCTTTGGGAAAAAATGATAAAAATAATATCCTACCTTACACCATATACAAAACGAAAGAGATGATGAACTAAAGATTAAATTGTAAATTGTAAAAACAAAGAATAAGCAAAATATAAGAGCATATTTTTAATAATTTGAAACTAGGAAAGACCTTTTTTACAATGATGTCAAGACTTCTTTTAAAATGGTTTTTTTTTTTTTTTTTTAAAAAGATGACCAGTAAGGGGATCTTAACCCTTGACTTGGTGTTGTCAGCACCACGCTCACCCAGTGAGCAAACCGGCCATCCCTATATGGGATCCGAACCCGTGGCCTTGGTGTTATCAGCACCGCACTCTCCCGAGTGAGCCACAGGCCGGCCCCTAAAATGGTTTTTTGAAAAAAGAAGGCTGAAGTGACAGATTATAGAACTTAAGGTTAATAGAGAGGCTGAATTTTAACTTCAAAAATATCTCATTTTTCACTTTCCATATCATCTCTTTTTACAAATAATATTTCAATTTTATATTAACACTGAAAATGTGAACTAAACTGCAAAATACACTTAGCAATATCTCCATCCTTAGAGAAGGAGAAGGTTTCAGTCTTCTTTCAGTAATTCCTTCCTATAAATTATCTCCAGAGAAGGAAGGAAGATCGAGCTAGTGGGGTGTGCTGAATGCAGGGGCACTTTATAAATGGGCGTGGAAGATGATGGTGATGGTGATGATGCTAAAATGGGATCACCACCATAATTTTAGCAATAGGACAAGGTTCCTACTAGCACACATGAACTTGGTGTTAGACGGGACTAGAAGAGTTTCTTGGATACCTGATCAGAAGATGACTATGTCTAAGGAGAGAGGTCATGCCTGTGAGTCTCTCCCCCTTCTAGCTGCTTAAGTTCGTGATCGCACCTTGAGACACGCAGGTTCTCACCTGCATCTTCCTTCTGAGTTAGAGAATGCTTCATTGATTGGGCAACTTACTACTTTAGTTTTTCCTCCTGTACTCTGTAATAATTTCAGATACTAGTGACCTGCAGTCTTTCTTTCAGGTTCTCACCTGCATCTTCCTTCTGAGTTAGAGAATGCTTCATTGATTGGGCAACTTACTGCTTTAGTTTTTCCTCCTGTACTCTGTAATAATTTCAGATACTAGTGACCTGCAGTCTTTCTTGCCCATCGGTGGTTTGAAAATACAAAAGGTTGAAAAAAAATAGTTCTTAGTAAGCTGACATATTTTAAATGCATAAAGAGAAATATTGGAAAGAACCCATTCAGGAAAAGAATTTCTTTTGTGAAATAATTTCTGAATAACTTTGTGAAAATAGTTCTTAGTAAGCTGACATATTTTAAATGCATAAAGAGAAATATTTGAAAGAACCCATTCAGGAAAAGAATTTCTTTTGTGAAATAATTTCTGAATAACTTTGTGAAAAGAATGTTTTTTTCCACTTTAATATAAAGCGAAAATCCAGCATTATAATTCATCTTTCCTTTTAAGCTTGGATTTTATGTTTTGGGATTTATTAATTTTATTTTTAATTTCATGGCCCTTGTGTTATAGGGTTATTGATAATATTATCAGATCATTTAGAATTGACTGGAATTTCTGACAATGATAATTTTTCTTTCAGTAAAAGTTAGAGTTTATTCATTGGATGAAAACCTTAAGCCATCCCACAGAGAAGTTACCTTGAGTTTTATAGTAAGTATACCATTAATTTAAATCAAAATTTAACCTCATTTCCAATATGTGAACAAAGAATTTTCATTGTTTTAAAACCAGTCATATGTGGCATTAATTTATTCAATATTAAATAGTAGCAAGCATTTATTCAGCATCTACTGTGGGTACAACCAACTCATTTTATACTTCTCTTACCCTAACTGACAATTTTTGTGTGTAAATTAAATATTAGTTGAAATAAATTTTGATGACACCGTTAAAGACCACATTTTGGTGACCCCATCGCTAAAGTAGGTCAATGAGTCACTTTGCATCGGCTTGCTATCTGTGAGGCATGGGTGGATGTGGTGAGGGTTTGTAGAAGCATAAAACGTGGTACCTGTGAGAAGCGCATCGCATGCATTATATTGTCATGACAGCCTTATAAGATTGATATATCACCCCATTTTACAGATGAGAAGGCTAAGAATTACAGAAATTAAATAACCACTGAGATCATACTGATAATAATGAGCTGAACCAGGATTCAAACCCAGGTCTCTCTGTCTCCAGAGTCTCAGCACTTAGCCTTTCTCCATTTATTTGGGGGATTATGGGATGTGTCCCTCCACGAGCATTGAGTTTGGAAGACAGGACAAGCACACGTAACACAGCAAACCACATAAGGGATGATGTAGGACCAACAGCAGATCAGCTTGAAGGGGAGACAAAACTGGAGATGATGTGTCCCCTCTATGGAGAAAATTACTAAAGGACAGGGGCGAGTCCTTAGCTGAGTCTTAAAGGAAACCACAGAAAGGGTTTGACAGAGAGAAGCTGGATGCCTTAGGTGGCATGCGGAAGGAGTAGATGTCTGGAGCCAGGAAGAAGCAAGACATGGAGATGACTGTGACTGTGGCTTAGCCCCAGCAGACTGGCCAGGAAACATTTTAAGGACAGATGGTGGCAGCTTCAGTGTATTTTGTGTTTAGGGTGTTGCGAGAAAGACAGTCGAGTGAACCTGTCATAAAGGTGAATGTCTGGCCTCACAGATCCCACCATTCCCTTGTAAGAGTTTTCCACGGAGAGAAGACATCGAACAACTCAGAGGTGATTCTATGTTCAGGTTTCATATCAAAGACAACAGGGAGCCAAGGGAGCCTTTTGGCCGTGACAATGACATTATGAAAACAGTGTGTGAAGGAAGATTATCCTAGAAGTCCTGTTCAGGAAGAAGGGAGATTGGGGAGAGAATTGCTGGGAGTTTATACGTATTTAATGTTATCTTAAGTATTTACTATTTATGCCTGTTGAAAACATGCCTTTGTGCCTTAGAAAGTGGCTTTATTAACAAGCCTGACAACATCAGTCATTGCCTCAGTACTAAGCCAGCATTGCATGTGCTTAGTTTCAAAAAAGTTCCTTAGAACATATTAGTGACTATTTCTATAAGAACTATTAATCACACAGTATGTTTCTGTGTGGCTTCTGTATTTATAGGTTGTTAAAAAATGTAAAACTTGCATTTTCGTTTTTCTTTTCTCTCAAAGGATCCAGAAGGCTCAGATGTTGCTGTGGTAGGGGGAAAAAATTACACTGGAATTATCACTTTTCCTGACTTCAAGATCCCATCTAATCCTAAGTATTTTAAGTTTGTTGGTAAAGTTGTTTCTCTTAAAAGCAGTGGAGTCCCTGAGGTTATAAAATAGTTTAATGGAGCCATTTACGAATAATTGAAAGGTGCTGATGTAAAGAAAGTTTGATTTGGGCTAGTCTTATCAAACCTAGTGCGTGTCCTCACCTTAGGAAAGGTGACACCTGCTTGGGCTCTTCTGCATCGAGGCAGGGGACCTGATGTAATATTGCCAACTGTAAGCACCATGCTAGTCTGCTGTATTCAATTTAATGAGCACCTTCCACAGCAAAGTCCAAGTAGTAGATGCTGTGGGAATACAGATTCTGCCCCCAAAATGCTGAGAGCACAATAGAAAAGAGAAGAGGAAAAAAAGTACAAATAGAAGATGTCCACTAGCATTTGTTTAGAATTCCTTAGAGGTTTCGGAATTTTCTCTGACATTTTAGCTCATATTCCTAGCACTTGAAAGATATTTTGAAATATGACTTGGAATTTTTGTTTGTTTGCTTAGTATTGGTCAATCCTTTTTTTAAAATGTTAATTGACACATTATAATTATACATACTTATGGTTACAATCTAATGTTCTGATACATATATATGTTGTATCATAATCAGGTTAGGATAGTTAATGTAACCATCACTTCATGCATTTGTCATTGCTTTGTGGCAAAAACATTCAAAAGCCTCTCCTCTAGCTGTTATGCAATATACAAAGCTTAACTGTTAACACAGCCACCCTACTGCCATTGGCCAACCTCTCTCTATAGTCCCTCCCCCAGTACCCGTCCCCCCAGTCTCTGGTAACCATTTTTATATTGCATAATGCATTGAAAATGTAACACTTCAAAAAGGTAAGGAAACTGACATTTATCGATCCTCTACTATATGCCAAGCACTCTGCTAGGTCCTTTATCATTCCCATTTTCGAGATAAGTAAACTAAGGCTCAGAAAAATTTTTAAGCCTGTTCAAGGTCACACAACTATTAAATGATAAAACTGAACAGAGAATCCAAGTCTCTATGCAGGCAAGGTTCATCCTTGCTCTTTGCTTCTACTTTACTACTCCTCTAAAAATAATTTCACACTAGCCTTGAGTTGTAAAATTTCCCAAACTACGTATTTGTATCATTTAGATAAGTTTAACCTGATCAAATGGTCCTTGAAACATAGTCCTGATTTTCTGGAAAACTATATAATATATTGTATCTATTATTATGATTAAGCATCCAGATTGGTTCATCAGCTGAATAATGCTTTATATTTAAAATATTTTCTAGTTAAATACTGGTTTATACCATGATATACTAGAGAAAGGGTCAGTAACATGAAAATAAATTTCAGTATGTTTATAGTAGTTTTTTTTAATGCATATTTTCATTCTAAAACATCTTCCAAATATAGTATATCAATTAGACTGCACAGAAATCTGAAGCTGCTGTCAGGGTCATCTAAGCATGAATTTGTAGTCAAGGGCTTTGGAGCCAGAATGACCAAATTCGAGTCCCAGCTCTATCACCTACTAGCTGTGCATTCCTGGGCAAGTTACTTTACCTCTCTTGGATTCAGTTTTCTGATAATAAAATAGAGAAAATAATATTACATATTCCATAGTATTTTTGTGAGGATCGAGTGAGTAAACGTATATAGAAAGTGCTTGGCCCATGCCAAGTGCTCCTTCGAATATTTGCTACAATCATTGGGTGAATTAAAGATATATTGTTTGATGATACCTAACATTTTAAATGTGTTGCTTTCACAGATATGGTTTGTGGACAATTAAAGCTAAATACAAAGAGGACTTCACAACAACAGGAACTGCAAATTTTGAGATTAAAAGTGATGGTAATTTCTCATAAATTACTGAGATTTCCAATGTGTGGTTTTAAAAATTATTCTCAATGATTTTGTAGAATAAAAACTCAGTAAAGAATAAAGAAGAGGCAGCGAGGTGTGGTGGACAGCAGTAGACTGGGGGTCAGAAGGCTGAGGACCTGGGGCTCTCCATCTAGTTTACCTCGATTCAGTTACTGAATTCTCTGGGCCTTGTTTCCTTGTCATAGTTCTGCAAGGGATCAAACCCAATAAGAGGGTAACATTAGATAATGTTCTTGCAAAGAAAGCCATGGTTCTCTGGCACTGTTAGGGATCGTCTAGTCTGATCCCCCTGTCCAGGTTCTTATAACCTTTCTGTCTGGACTGAAAACCACCTTTGAACCCAAGCCCAGTGCTCCTTCCCATCAGCCCTCAAAATCGATGATGTGTTTGTAAAATTACAATGTTTGGGGAAAAAAAGATAGTATACTTATTTTGGAAATATTTGTATAATTGTAGAAATAATTAACTTATAAAAAGCTCCTTCCATTCATTTCTCATAGGAACTTACTAGACTATTCATTCATATGCTCTTATGTAAACTTGTTATTAAGCTATTTAAATCCCTTTTTTTGCCCACCAGGTTGTTAAGGAGGCAGAGAGTTATTTGTAATTAGGAGAGAAGAAAGAGCACATGTAAAAATTTGAAACATTTAATATGTGAAAGCCACAGCAACAAAGTACCCTCTGAAGCAATGAAACTTGACTTTGGAGTTGCTTATTAACTCTCTTGGACACTGTTCATCGTTGTAAAGTCCTCGTTCTGTCTTTCTGCCTGTACCCTGGAAGGCAATTTTCTCTGACACAGAGAGAACTAGCCAGAACAGCGAGACACTTGCTCTGCCCTTCTACAGCCAGACTCTGACTACCTGCCCTGGTTACCCTGGAGCCAAGTGTCCCTTCTCTCTGAAGGGTGGACTTCTCCCATTGTGTTAAGCAGCCTGCAAAGCAGTGCATAATAAATAGTATTGGGAAGCCTAGCATCGCTTCTTGAAAAGACATAAGGAAAAGTCATAACCCTATAAGCAGTCAAAAAAGTATTGTTTGTGAATTACAGTTTCAAAGAGATGGAAAGTCTAAAACTTCCCTTTGTTCTAACTCTCATTTTTGTTAGAAAGTTATTTTCTACAGCCAATAACTAGATATCTTTCCTAGATGAGAACTTGAGACTTATGCTCGTATTATGCATATTGAATAGAAGAGAATTGCTAAACACAAGAGATGCTAAAGAAGCAGGAAATTTCTAATTTAATAAATATTTATCAAACATTTACTAGATGAAAAGCATTGGGGGGAAGCTTTACACAGAGAAACAAGGTCAGGACTTTGTCCTTATAGAGCTGACATTTGCACTGTAACATAAATGGTTTGATACAGGACAGAGCTCCTGGAGCACAAAGATGAGATGAATCCCTGATTGGAAGTCATGAGGCTTCACAGGGGTATTGATGATCATCAGCATGAGGGGAAGGCTACTGATACTGCTGATGTTGAACTACCCCACTGTCTCAAAAAGTTTCTTGCTTAAAATATAGTTACAGTTTCAGCTGTATCTTTTTTTCTTTTTTTTGCTTAGATTTATATTTGGGAAAACCACGTTTCTCTGTCTTAGTGGAACCAGAAAATTACTTCATTAGCCATAAAAACTTTGAGGATTTCAAGATTGCTATAAAAGCTAGGTAAGAGCTTTTATTTTCAGATTAATCTAGCCCCTGAATGGCAAACAGATTTTATTTCAAGAGTCAAATATAACTGATTGGTAGTGCTCGCCTGCAGCCCTATGTTGAGATAAATTTTGAGGCTCAATGGAAAAAATACAGTGATTAATATTCTGTGTGAATATCATGGTGACTATTCAGGTGGCTACACTGCCCATATTCAAAATATGATGTAAAAATGTTCATTTCTTTCTTATTTGTGACCTAGTTAGTATTAATTGATCTTACAGCTTAATAGCCAGAAGCAGTTATAGAATGGATTGGACTGGCCCAGAAATCCTATGAAAGATGAGCTATGGAAAATTGTCTTGCAATGGGGACACTGGCTTGCCTGTTTTATATTTAAATAGGGAAAGGTCATGGTTTTCTTTGACTCAAAGGTAAATATAGGATTAAACTGAAAATATCTTGTCTGCAGTATATGTGGGATGGACGTGACATTGCTCCTTTTAGTGAGGAGTAGGTCCCCACTGTTGCTCCACCATGTAATAGTCATGGCAGAAGTGTGTCCCCTGACAAAGAGACCTGGGTCCTAAGCTCAGCTCTCCACTAATGCACTATGAATATAAAAACCATGGGAAACTGGGCAAGTTCTCATCATCCCTCTGGGACTCAATTTTCTTAGTTGTCAATGGGAATAAAAATACCTGACTTAGCTCTGCCACTGCAGAGTATAAGAGTGAAATGCAAAACTGGATGTGAGCACCGTTTCAAGGGTAAAAAACAAATTTCACATGGTTAAATTTTATCTGCATCTCATTGCTATAATTGCTTTATCAAAAAAGGGGCTAATTATATTCTCTTGACAGATATTCTTATAAGAATATAACTGAGGCTGAAGTTTCTGTCTTTTTTGGAATAAGAGAAGATTTAGATGATAGGAAGAAAGAAATGATTCAGGAAGCAACACAAAAGACACAGGTAAGAAGAGATTAAGCTACATCTATACAAATGGGGAATTGGAAGCAATTCACTAGAGTATAGAGATTAAAACTGGGCTTTCAACCCCAAATAGTAATAGAACTTAAAACACCAAAATAATAATACTTCAGGCTTCAGGAAGTTCCATTGATGGAAGCAAATAAGTTACAGTGACATTTGTCTTCAATTTGGAAGCCTAAGTTGGCAAACTCTAGTTCCAGAGGCAGTTTTCTCTCTTTATGGTCATGATATCCTGCACTTTAGATAAGGTTTCATCAGGTAGATAATGGCACCCAAATTATGGCCTCAGATTCTGAACAGGATGAGACCATTTCAAGTCAGAGGTTTTCACCCAGGGTCTTTCTCTATGATCCTGCGTTATGGCCCAAGGCTCAAAAGAAGTGATGTAAATATTAATTAGTTATAAGTATACTTCATTGAATCAAGCTTATGCTTTGTATTACTGTTAGCTTTAACCACAATGTCATTGCCAGAGAAAATTTTGCAGGCTGATGAAAGCAGAATTTATTATTCTCTCTCTCTTTTCTAATGTAGCATCTACTTTTTTTGTCCCCCTCCCTTTTAAAAAACAGCTGATTGATGGAGTTGCACAAATCAATTTTAATACTTCAAAGGCAATAAAAAACCTGTCATATAAAAGTCTAGAAGATTTAAATAACAAGTACCTTCATGTTTTTGTGACAGTACAAGAAAGTACAGGTAAGTTATCAAACTATTCTATAAATTCCCTTTTCACAGTTCTTTCTTATTCCAAAGTTTGGATAAAAATCCACAACTTATTGGTGCAATGTTGGACAAGTGCAGTTGCCAGATGTGGTCTACCAAAACACCGTCCACTGGCTCATGAAGGGGAAATGCTCATGAAAGACATCTTTCTGCAGCAATGACCCCCTGTTCCCACATACATGAATAGCCTTTTAGGTTATTAAAAATTATAGGTAATACTGGTACCAAAAAATTTTACTTGAAACAAATACATGAGATTGTAGAATTATTCACATTATGAAAGCATCCCGGAGCCATTTGTATGTTTGCTTAAATATTATTAAATATTTAACACATATCTTTTACCACTATATCTGGTATTTACTTGAATGTTGCCTTGGAAATGAGAACCAGCTGTTTCACATGTGAGTGTCTCTTCTAACAGGATTGCCAACTCTTTGAGGGCATGAGACTCTGCTCTGATTATTTGAAAAAAAGTAATAGTATTAATGATCTGACAAATGGTCTGGACACTATAGGCCACTATAGTTGAAATAGACGAATGGCCATTTTACCAATTTCCTGTAAATTGCTCTTTAATGGTTCAGAGTAGCCGGGCTCTTCCAGAGTAGCCACAGCAATCTTCCAGATTTAGGTTAACAATTGCATGCAAAATGACCAAAGAATGAATGAGTGTCTTCTCCTGATCCCAATAAATAAATATGTAGGAAGAGTGGGTGCCCACAGAGATCACTGTACTACCCTGTACTTGCTAAATTCTCAAAGCAGTGCATGTTATTCCAGTAGGTGGATTCTTCAAAGAAACCAAAGCAACTGATGTCAAATACGTCCTCTCTCCCTACACACTGAATTTGATTGCTACTCCTCTTTTCCTGAAGCCCGGCATTCCATATTTTATCAAGGTTAGATAATTAGAACATCTAATACGGCTGCATTTTTCTATTTACTGGTAGGTTACTTAGTCTGTGGAAGGACAGAGGAAAAGGATCTCAGAGAGGTCTTGCTCCCATGTGACCTCTAGTGTAGACATTTAAATGGAAAAGAGACTGGGGGCGGGGGCTGGGGTGGGGTGAGATTTAGGACAAGGCAACTAGCAAGGCTTTGATGTATGCAAAACAAGAGCCCAGATCCAGGCCTGGTAATAATTTCACTCAGCCCATGGCTTATGTACAAGTATATAGCACAGTGCCCTGCTCTCATTAAACATTCAGTAAGCGTATGAGGGTACTTCAAAAAGTTCATGGAAAAATGGAATTATTGGATAATACGAATCTTTCCAAGAACTTTTTGAAGACCCCTCATACACTGAATTGAATTAAATGTAATTCACATCATATGTGCCTGGAATGATAAAAACGGAGCCTTAAGATGACCACAATTGACCACTGAACTACATTCCACCAAGTCTGTGCTTGAGAGCAAAGGAGGGAATTATTTTATGATTTTCTTGTTGGAAAAGAATGTTAACTATTGAAATGGATTTGGCCCAACAGATGCAGGTGAAGGACGTCTTTGCCCACATTGTAGGAGGAATTGCAGTGACCTTGAAAGCAAAAACAGTTGCCAAAACTCAGGAGAAGACAGATCTGGGTCTAAGGAAAAGTACAACAAATGATCATGATGGAGTAGCTTCCTTTGTGGTTAACGTTCCCACTGGCGTGACAGCACTGGAGTTTCACGTGAGCAGAATTCGCATTTGTCGTATTTCCTAATATCACCTCAGTCTGTGTGGTAGCTAGCGTACAGGACAGATGGGGACGATTTTATACCAAAGTCCAGTGAACTGCTCTGAATCACTTCATCTATGGGCACAGGAAATACAATATGTTTATTTTTTAATTATTATTTATTATGAGTATATTATTATTACAAATTGTGATTTTTCTTTATGCCCTTTGCCCAACCTATCCCTCCCTAAGCAGCCCCCTCGCCTTCCCTCCATCTCTAGCATCCTTAGGTTTATAGGAAATACAATTTAGTGTACTGAATGTTCCATAAAGGGTATGAGTCTGTTAATTTTGTACTTAGGAAATAATTTTTTCTTCTTATGCTAAACACAATACTATGCAAGTCTGGAAAATTTAGAACAAGAATTGGCAGTGGAATACAGACTGAGTCTCCCCTGCCCGTTATTTCTAGCTATCATCCTCCGTCCCCACTTAATACGTGAACTCCACTGCAGAACTGTCCACACTCCCCTTTCCCCTCCCATTTTTTCAGTCTTTATATTTCTCGCCTTCTCTAAGACACTGGCTCAGCTGACCACGTCTTTTTCTTTCAACAGTCTGTTGTGGCCTCTATCACTCCACGTTTCCTTGCTTTTAATTTTTCTTTGTTCTCTTTATAGTTCCATTTTGGACCAGTAATCCCTGGCTTACCCTCTAAATGGGGGTGATCCTCGGGGTTCTATTCAGACCCTCTTCTCTTCACATGACACATTTTTATTTGATATATTTCCTGGGTGCTTCCATCTGCTCTCACAGCTTCTGCTGAAGACTCATCCCAGACACTCGAGAGTCTTACGGACACTGCCTTCTCCATATTTTTTTCCTGGATGTGTCAAAGAAGCATAAACATTACTTTGTCCCAAACTAGGGACTGCCTGCAAGCCTCAAACCTAGACTCCCCCCAGCTGCCCTATTTCAGTGGATGGCCCCACAGCTACCCAGTTTTCACTCTCCCCACCCAGTCACTCCCCTCATTGTGGCAAGGGGGGTGGAGTGATCTTTCCAAAACACAAATGTGATCTCAGTTGACCTTGTCCCTGCTCCCCTCTCCAAACTCACTGCTTACCACTCTTCTTGTTGCACCCCAAACTCCAGCACACTGGACAGTTTTCAGCTTCCTAACCCCCAGCTCTCTACTGCCACAAAGACTTTGTAACCCTGCCTGGGAAACTCCCCCCCTAGTCTTTGATTCCCTAACTCCTGCTTATTTGGAGCTTTGATTTTAAATTACATCCTCCAAGAGTGGCTTTTTCCAACTGCCCTAATGGGGAAGGCATTCCCCACCCCATGTCTGTCGCGCAGAGTTCAAGTTTCACAGGGGTAGTGCTGTGTCTATCGTGTTTACCTTTGTATCCCCAGTCACTCTCATAGTTCCTGGACACATGTTAGGGACCAGTAAATATTGGTTGGGTGAATGCATAATACTATCTTTCCAAACCTAAACAAGGGTGAAATGTCACAGTCTCTTCTTTTCTCTGATAGCATGAATCATTTTTATTTGTTCTTGTTTGTTATCAAATTATCTTCACTGGCAAATAATATCTGATTCTTCAGCTTCAAATAAAACATAGATGGTTCCAGCTTCTTGTTCAAGAGCTAGTGCAACATGGCACATATATTTATTAGAGTTCCCTATGACCCTGCACTTCACCCTCAAAACAGATCTTGTTTATACTTCTAAATTCTTCTCCCTGTCTCTCTCCTGAGAGTTGGAAAAATTATTCACCATCATTTCAATTCATAACAACATCTCCACCAACCTTTAGGAATTACTGCCACAGTGACATCAGCAAGATGTTGGAATAGGAGATACCAGCCTTCACCAACCCCTACATAAGAAAAAACAAATATAGGCAGCTATCCACAAACAAAAATCGCCCCAGGAGGGCCTAGGGACCATTTAAGAACCTGCAGCAACATGGTGCAGCTAAAAAACACAGAGAATAACTGCACAGAAAAGATCACTGGGGAGATCAGTATACCTTAGAAGTCTGGAGATAGCTATGAACAAAGGGAGGGCTGTCAGTATCACTCATACAGCAGGTGCCACCGCGATCTCTAGTGGTCTGCTCTGTAGAGGACACCAGCATCTTTGACACTGAAGAAACCAACAGCCATCCCTGACATAGATGCCTGGGGAGGGAAACTAGGCTGCACCCCCATTTCACCCCCTCAAAAGCAGCTCTTGTGCAGCTCTAAGACCACTGCCTCCGTCTCCCAACCCCATGAGCTCTCCTCACCCAGGAGCCACAGATGCTCCACCCATGCCCATGCTCCACCCATGCCCAGACTCCAGACCCCAGCTCTGTGGCCCCTCCACTGGCTCTGTGGCCATACCTCATGCACCCAAACCTCAAGTACATAGCTACTAAAGCTTCAGGCTGGCCCAGCTGGGGCCCTAGGTTGCCCTGCATGCACCTGCTGTACAGATCCTGGCTCCACAGCCTCTAAGTGAGCATCCGCACCTCTGGCATTTCAACCACAGTCACAGAGAGCTGTCTTACTCTCTGACCTCTGAGCTGCTGTATGTTCTCACGTGCTTACTGCTTCATGGCTGCACTGCGTGCACCCAACCTCAGACAGTAGAGTCATCACTGCTACTGGCTAGTCACCTCCCCACACCTGTGAGCCATTGTAGCTCTGCACACACCTGCATAGGTCCTCCACAAGCACCTTGTCTCTTATACCATTACCAAAGCAGCAGGGGCATCTGTACCCTGGTGACTGTTAAAAAGTATTCAATAATACTTGTTGAAGCAGGGTGAGGAAGACTTTATTCAGGGCCATCATGGTAGGTATAGGGACCATGCAACAGGGTCTTGCAGTGGGGGAGAGAGATTGGGCTCAACTCCAAATACAGCATGGACAAGTGGGAATTTATAGCCAAGGAGCAGGGCAGGAGTCAGTGGATGGAAAATTACTAAGAAGAAACATCAAAGGTAAAGGGGATTATGGCTAAACCCACCAACAGGATTCTTGCTGAAGACAGGCCAGTATTAAGAAAATGACCAGATATCAAGGGTGATCAGATATCAAGGATGGGGGGTTCTGGCTAAACTAACTTAGCAGGGTTCTTTGCTAAAACTGGGTTTTATAAGGAAGTACACAGATGTACCTAGCAGAAGATTCAGAAGCCTGACTAAAGTTTAGCCAAGCAAAGAATCTTTGTCAGCGCCAGTGCCACAGCTGCCCTCGACCCTAGATCCTTGGTCCCTCCACACATGCCCATGCTTCAGTCCCCAGCTCTGTGGCCTCTCCAAAGATAACATGCAACAGATACCAGTGCAACTGCCACCACAGGATGTCCACAAGCAGAAAGTGGTGCCAAGAGGGATTCCCTAGTTCATGACTTCCCCAATAGGAGAATAAGAAAATTGGAGGACCTCAGCAGTCTTCACCAGCCCTAACAACCCCCCTCTGCAGCTGTAGACATCTACAGCCTTGGCTGCTGAGGACCCTTGCAATCTATGCTAATGATGACCTTAGCTGACAGAGCTAAACAGAGGTTATTCCACTCTGCCCTCACTGGAGCCAGAACCAGCCCACCCAACTGATGCCCTTGCACCTCATTGTAGGGGAAGATCTTTCCCCACTGAAATCAGTCCACAAAGTCTGAAAGAGGCGACAGCTTCATGAAATGCACAGATGTCAATGCAAGACAACAAGAAACATGAAAAACCAAAGAAATATAACACCACCAGAAGAACATAATAATATCATAGTAACTGATCCCAAAGAAATATAGTTATCCCAATTGCCTGGCAAAGAATTAAAAATAATAGTTTTAAACTCACTTTATGAGGCCAGCATTACCCTGGACCAAAGCCAGACAAGAACACTACAAGAAAAGAAAATTACAGGCCAATATCCTTGTGGATACAAGGATCCATCCTTGAACATGGATACAAAAATTGTGAACAAAATACGAGCAAACCAAATTCAATAGCACATTAAAAGGATCATTCACCATGATCAAGTGGGATTTATCCCTGGTCCATGACTTCCCCAGTAGGAGAATAAGAAATTTGGAGGACCCCAGCAGCCTTCACCACCACCATCATCATCATCATTGATGCAAAGTTAAGCATCAGTGTTTTACATTTTTGGCATTCTTTTTTAGGTTAGGACTGATGACACAGACCTTCCAGAGGAGTATCAAGCCAGCAATGACTACCAAGCAGTGGCCTACTCATCACCCAGCCAAAGTTTCCTTTCCCTTAGCTGGACAGAAAGTTACAAGAGTTTGCTTGTGGGAGAACATCTGAGCATCACTATTACCCCTAAAAGTCCATATGTTGACAAAATCACACAGTACAATTACTTGGTAAGTTAAATAATAACCTTACTTGCATCTAGTTCCCTATTTGCAATATTTTCTTTACTTATGTAAAGAATACTTAAAATGATTCCTTACCTGACACAACTGACATTTAGTGAATGAGTGAATGAACTCACATAGCACTTTAAAACTTATGAAACACATTTACAAATATCTTCAGGACACTTCTTTGAGCTCAGCAGACAATGGATCAGATTGGAAAGGTTGAATGACCTTTCATGTTCACAAGTAGGGGTAGGTTTAGAAGTTTGTTCAAGGTTGTCTGACCCCTGGACTCATATTCCTTCCATGGAATGATGACAAGGGGTTGATCAGAGACTTCATTCAGTCCCCAGACTAGTCAGGGACCTCAGTATTACCAAGCAATAGACTTTTAGGTCTTGCCAGTGTTACTTAAGAATATGCCTTATCTACAAAGGGAAGAATTCAAGTCTTATGCTCCAGCATGGATATAGTGATTCCATGCATTGTTCATTGCTATTTAAAATGCAAACTAGGAATGATGGTAGCATGATATATTGGAAGAGGCATGAGCTTTGAGTCAGCAAGATCAAGGTTCAAATTCATACTCTATCACTTCCTTGGGCCAGTCTACATCTATGAGCTTCAGTTTCTATAACTACTAAATGGAATCAATTAAACCATAACATACAGTTGTGAAGATTGAATGCATTCACATATATGTGCCTGATGCATAGTTTGTAATCAATGCACATTAATTCTTTTCCTCTTTATCATCTTCCCAATTATTAGCCCAACTTCAGGCCCATTCTGATACTTATTTGTTGCTGTGTATTTTTAGATTTCATCTAAGGGCAAAATTGTACATTTTGGCACAGAAAAGAAACTCCTGCGTTCATCTTACCAACATTTAAACCTTTCTGTGACTCAGAACATGATTCCTACAGCCCATCTCCTGGTCTATTACATCATCACAGGACAGCAGACAGCAGAATTAGTGTCTGACTCAATCCACCTAAATATTGAAGAAAAGTGTGGCAGCCAGCTCCAGGTGAGACACAAATACTTTCCCAATCTCAGTTCCTCCCAAGTGACTATTTAATCTCACATTAAGATACTTTCTTTTCCAACTAATTTTAGATCCATCTGTCTCCAAATAAAGATATACATTCTCCGGAGGAAGCTGTATCTCTTATTATGGAAACTCAGTCAGAATCATGGGTAGCATTAACAGCAATGGACAGTGTTACCTATGGCATCAGAGGAAGAGGCAAATATTCCATGGAAAGAGTTAAGTAGGGTGAATGCTATGGTGACTGGTGCATGGCACAACTTGGGGTCAAGTAGCCACACGGTTCTCTCAGGGGTTCGTGGATTGGTCATGGGAAAAGAATAAAGGGAAAGATGCAACTTCACCAATGTCTCTTCTCAGTTAGATTTAAGAATAACAACAGCAAGAGCTAGCATTCACTGAACACTCACTGTATGCTAAGTATTATTCTGGGACTTTTTATCTCTTGTCTTATTGAATATTCACAACAATCCTATGAGATGGGTAGCAGTAATAGCAATAATATTTAAAGTGTATTAAGCACTTAGTAGTGTAGTCCCCATGTTATTGATAAGGAAAACTAAGATATTAGGTGACTTGTGACCTGAATGAAATGTACAGCGAAGAATCAAGTAAATTATCCTTTTAAGTTATCCTTTTAGATATATAAAGAATAATTATCCACTTAATTTACTCTCAAATTCTTTTTTTTTTTTTTTTGTCTTTTGTCTTTTTCCGTGTCCGGCAACAGATCGCACCCCTCAGTGTTGCCCCCGTACCGGACCGGGGACCGGCAACGGGATTGCAACCCTCGGTGTTGCTCCCGCGCCTCGCTCAGCCAGTGAGCGGGAACCGGTCTGTATGTGGGATCCGAACCCTCGGGCGGGAGGGCCGCGGCGCTTCCCAAGTGGC